TAAGAGAACTTTCACTGCGATTGGACAAACTTTTCCGCTTTTCAAAACCAGGTGTTTGGGTGTCTCCCGAGTGTGGGGAAAACCTCTAGCCAGCGCTGTAAAAACGCAATCAGCAGGGAAGCAAGGAATTAGGAGCGGAGTAGATGTTATCAGCCCAGATCAGCACCCGCTGTGCAGCCTCCCCACGCCCCCCCCCCCCGCCCCGTGCCCTCTCTGCCCTTCGCCCACTCCCCTGCAGGCGGGGAGGCGAGAACTGGGGAGGAACCGAGCTGTCCTCTGCTCTTGTCTCCTTGTGGGGCAGGGAGCTGTTCTCTCCTCCCGTGTTAGGGTTGGAAGGCTCACTTCATTCTGGGGTCAGTGTTGGAAGCCCAGGAGCCCACAGATACCTAGATTTATCAGCAATAAAGGCGACATTTTGGCGCCCATCCCTGCTATAGGCTGGCTCTTTGTGTGTCCCTCCCCTCCCAAAATCCGTGTCTTGAAACCTAACCCCCAATGTAACGGGATTAGGAGGTGGGGGCCTCTGGGAAAGAAGTAGGTCACGAAGGTGGAGCCCTCATATGTGGGATCAGCACCCTTATAAAAGAGACCCCAAGTGTGCCCTCGGCCCTCCATCCCATGAGGATGCGGTGAGAGGTCAGTCCCTAGGAAGAGACCCTCCCCTGGCCATGCCGCACCCTGATCTCCAACTTCCAGCCTCCAGAACAGTGAGGGAGACGTTTTTATTATTGGTAGCTGCGCCGTCTGTGGTATTTTTGTTATAGCAGCTCGAAAGGACCGATACAAACTGCTTATTCTTTTGTCTTGTTTCTCAGTTGGTTAAGAACGCCAGCAGGGAAGGGACTTCCCCCCAAAAGCCCATCGCAGGGGATGCGAGTTTTAGTGAGGTGTGAGGTCTGGTCTCTGAGCAGGAGCAGTGATTCGGCCCTGGGGATGTACTTTTTCTTCTCAGTTCACTTATTTATTCCACATCTACTTGCTAAGTACCTACCCCAGGCCTGGTGCTGCACTAGGCATCCTTCAGATAAGGATGAGCCATTCAAAGTGGGGGCAAGACTGGAGTTTTCACCCCCAGCCATTCTATAGGAGGTGAGCAAGAGGAAGCTAGAGTGGGGCCAGCAGTTCTGGAGAAGACCAGCATCCATTTCCCGCTCCTGCGGTTATAGTGCCCTGATTTTCTGCTGAGGAATTACCCACCCCGTTGTTAGTCACCCCAGTGGGACTGTCAGGGCACCCTGCCCTTTCCTATCCGAGGGATGAATCCACGGCCAAGGTAAATCATCACACTCTAGGTGCTAGGATGGTCAGTCTTCCCCACAGTGAGGCAGGGTGTGGGAAGCACGGTGCAGCTCCCCAACTTCAGAAGAAAATTTTTGAGATATCTGCTTGCTCCCCAGATGCATGGGACTGCTCTAGGTCTCTCTCTGTCTCTCCCTCCCTCCCTACTTCTCTTCCCTTCTTAGTTCTCAAATCCCCGCCTGCAAGTTACTCACTATCAATCCATTAAACTCTTCTCAGCACAAGTCAGAGTTGGTTGCCTTAGCAAGAGAAAATATCAACCCATCTGTCTGCGCATGGACCGTAAGAATTAGAACCTTGGGCTCATGCCTTCATCTGACAGCTGGAGAAATTAAACTTCAGAGGACATTTTCAAATTAGGGGTCAAGGAGGCCTTGAGGCTTGATGGTTAGGAGCACAAGTTCTTGAGTCCACTGGTCTGGACACAAAACCCACCTCTGCCGCGTTTAGTTATTGATGGATACAAGACCTATTACTCACTTCCCAAGTTTCAGGTCCTCGTCTCTGAATAGAGGATAATAATAGTGCCCAGCTCCCAGGGCTGGTAATGCAGAGAAGTGCACAATAACCTTTGGTTGTTATTTCAGTGATTATTCTTCTAGATTTCTTCTGAGAAGTCATGCAAAACAGGAATGTAAATTGCAAAAAAAGATTCTGAGCAGGAAGGCACTAAAGAAAGCCTTTCTCCAAAGGGGATGTTTATTTCAGAGGCATACAGGGGGAAGCTCAACCAGCTGTTTTCCAGGAAATCATCCACTTAACCCAGGGTGAGCTCTAAATTTTAATGACCAGCCAGTGTTGAAGGACTGGAAAAAAGAAGAAAACAAACAAGGACGAAGTAAAAATCCAACCCCACGCACTGCATAAACTCTGAGGTCTCTGAATTTAATCAGATTCCTGAGTTTGGAGGTGGTTCCCACCTCCATTAGAGAAAAAAAATCACGACTATCACTATATTCTATCGGCAGCTAAAAAGTCAACCTAATGGTAAATATCTGAAACAAAATACCAAGCCTCACTAGGATCCTGGAAAAAGTAAGATATAAATGATTAATCCATACCCATTGGCTTGGAAGTTTTGGGAGGCCCTTGCATTGGAAGTTTCTTCCACAAATGTTCTCCCAGCTCCCTGGCCCCTCCCTCCCCTGTACACCTGAACTTTCTCATCTCCACTCAAATGTCACCTCCGCCAAGAAGCCTTCCCAGCTCTCTCTAATAGAGCTACACTCTCAGAGCATTCTTTTTCTCCCCAACAGTACCAAGTTTGTAATGAGGTGTGTCTTTTGTAATTGTTGCGTCTGTTGCTTTTCCCAAGTAGACTGCAAATTCCAGGTGACCAGAGATCTTCTCTGTTGTATATACAACTGTAAACCAGGTTAGCTTGGTTTCAGACCCACAGTAAGAACTCTATATGTCTTTGTTGAGTGAATAATGACTTTGGTGGTTTTGTTATTGTTCATTCACTCATTCAGTGAGGACTTAAATCTTTAGCATGTACTTTTCAGTGATGAATCTCATCTTTAGTTCGTTCAAAGTAATCACCTGTAAGTGCTTACTATCTGCCAGGCACTAATGTGGGCAATGAGGAAACAGCCATGACAAAAGGAGGTAAGAATCTCCACCCTCCTCGAACTTACGTTGTGACATATGTCCGAGGAGTCCCAAGTGCTTTGGATAAAATTAAGTAGAAGAGAGAAACAGGGTCAGGATGGAGGGGAGCAATTTTGAAGAGAGATGCTGGAAAAAACCTCCTTGAGCAGAGATCCTGAAGGCGAGTTGAGGCAGCGTGGGACATCTAGGGGATCATTCCAGAAAGAGCAGCAGGTGCAAAGGGCCTGAGGGGGTGTGTCCTTGGCTACTGCGGTTAGAGTGGAGAAAGCAAGGGAAAGAGGGTGGGTAGGGGAGGGGATCAGGGAGAAGCAGATGCGTGCAGCTCACTGAAGGACTTTAGATTTTGCTCCGAGATGGGGAGTCATCAGAAAGACACATCTGGAAAGCAGTGTGGGATTTTAAATTATTTTCAAATAATCCCACACAGGAGACTGAAATGGAAGGAGGCCCAGGGAGATGTAGGGGACACTCGAGAAGTGCTGGGAATCCTTCTTCTGCCTGGACCAGGGCAGGAGCAGGACGTGGTCATGACTTGTCAGGCTCTTTGAATGTAAAGCCACCAGAAGGTGCTGATGGATTGGGTGTGGGATGAGAGTCGGGCGTCAGGAATGACTCCAATATTTTGGGCCTGAGTTACTGAATGAACAGAGTTGCTGTGAGCAGAGGAAGACTGAAGAGGAAAGCACGTGGCAGGGAGGTGGTGATGGTGGGGAGTGGGAATTCAAGGAGCTGGGTTTCAGGCATTTGACGTTTGAAACTATTTCTAAACATCCAAGTGGAGATATTTACAAGACAGACACAGTCCTTGCCTCCCAGGGAACCTATATGTTAGTGAGGGAGAAATCCAGTCAGCAGCAAAACAAAGAGATAACATAAGATGTCAAACAGGGCCAGGCACCACGGAGGTAATGTGATGGGGAGTGGTGACCGTGTCGTAGGTGTGATGGGGGGGGGTTGGTGAGAAGGTGCGCTGAGACCCAAACCAGGGGACAGCACAGCCAAGTCCCTGAGGAAGGACTGAGCTTAGCAAGTTTGAGGAACAGAACGAAGGCAACTCCAGAAGACTTACCAATGGCTGAGTCTTACTTTCAGTGTGACGGGAAGTCATCGGGAAGCTGTAAGGAGGGAGGATGCGGTCACCTGAATTCCATTTTTTAAAAAGGTAACTTTGGAGAATGGATTAGCATCAGAGGGAGACAAGCAGGGGAGTGATTGTCAGTCTGGTAACCACTGTCCAGACCCAGTGGACATTAACTCGGAAGGTCGGGGGAGATGCAGTAAACTGGGGAGATTCAGGGCCTGTCTTGGAGGCAGAGACCACAGGATAGACGTCGGTTGAGAGGGTGAGAGAAGGGAGAGTCCAGGATGCTGCTCAAGTCTTGGAGGGAGTCCCTTGTTGAAGGCTACTGTGGGCTAAGTGAGGGGAGACACAGCAAAAGAAGAATCCAGGTCCTCTTTGGTCACATTCAGTTTGAAATGAATGAGGAACTAGCAACAGGGAGCTCATATTGTCATTCTTTTAATGTTAATAAAATATACATACAGAATAGCAGACAGATCGGAAATATCCAGCTTGATGAATTTTCCCGAAGTGACAAATCCGGGTAATCGGCACCCCGAAAGTCCCTATGTGCCCCCTCCCAGTCATTCTTCTTTCGCCCAGGTAACCACTGTCCTAGACTGGCGTGATCCGTTTTATTGACATTTTAAAACCTACGATTAAGAGATGATAATCAGAGGTACGTGTGGGGCACTTGCTTAGGTAATTCTTAGAAAATTACCTCATTTTTTTTTTTTTTAAGACTAAATAAGGTTTTGTTGGGTTTTCTTTTTTCATTAGTAATTTTGAGGTTTGCTTGTGTGTCCTTTCCTCCTTCTCCCCACAGGAGGCGCTAATGAGCAGTGTGAGTGAGGGCTCGCCTGACCCCAGGCTGGCGAGGGGGCGGGGAGCCTTCCTCCTGCCTCCGTAAGTCAGAGGGGCATCAGATCACACCACGAGGTTTAAGTGCAAAGCCTGCTCCTTGCAGTAAGCAGGTCCTCCTCCCGCCCCGCCCACCCCCTTCCCCTCGAGTTTCATTTTCCTGGTCCAGACCCAACAGATGGTTCTTCTTAAGGCATCGTTGTCAGTTTATAGTTCTTGCAGTGTTCATTTTAATATTTTAATGACATTATAGCCAATTTTATTCTGTCTTGGAAGTTAATTTCTCCTCTCTCTGTTTGTTTCTCTCCCTTCCCTCCCTCCGTCTCTCTCTCTCCCCCTCCTCCCCTCTCCCTATTCCTCTGATTATTTCTTTTGGAAATAATTCCCCTCTCACTCTGTCTCCATAAATCTCTGAATCCCAGCAGATGGAACAAGGCTGCTATTAGGAGGGAACGGAATCAACAGGCAAGCGGCAAGTGGGAGGCGAGCTTTACGCTCTGCGGTTTCGCCCTCGTCGGAAGACGTGGTGACAGGGCCAGAACAAAAGGTTCATCTTTTCGTTTATTTTCACTTCTCAGGAGACCCCAGTCCCAGGGTCTTTTTATTAGAGAACTGTTCTGGCCCCTTTGGCTCCGCACACAGACCTTTGAGCCTCCCACATCCTGGTATGCTCCTGCCTCACAGACCACATTTTTACACACACACACACACACACACACACACACACACACACACACACACACACAACCACACACACACAAAACCTAAATCTGTACTGGCTGACTGCTAGCAAAATAAAACAACTCTTAGCTGTTAATTTGGCTCCTTCTTTCTGTTTTCACACCTTAATTGAGATATAATTTACATGCCATAAAATTCACCCATTTCAAGCGTGTCATTCAATGGTTTTTAGTTTATTTACCCAGTTGTATATAGGCTGTTTCTTTTTGAAAATGGAGCCACTGGGTGAACGGTTTGACCCCATGTGCTCCCTCCTCACTTTGAAAGGTGACATCTAAGGAGCAGAGAGCAGATTCTGTTTCACTCCCCAAAATAGTTGTTTTATTCATTCTGCCATTTACAACTTACTTCCTGTGTTTTGATTGAGCTGCTCGGGCCTGCTTCTTAGAAGCCAGGTGGGTTAGTTTTTACACTGTCAAGAAGTTTCTCTCGTGTTAGAGGAATTTTCTGTTTGTTTGTTTGTTTTGTTAGTATTTAGCCCTCAGATCTTTGTTGCATCTGCTGAGCTAATTAGAGACGAAATACATCTTTGTGACATGACAAACTATACAGAAATACGTGTTATTTAGAATTCAGCTCAAAAGTTGATAAAATTCTGACTGTTGAGATTGGTAAAAAAGAAGACACTTACAAATATAAATGGGGCATGGAGCCTAGAACTTTTCCCTAATATTATAATCTTCATCTATAATTCAGTTTTGACATCTCTGAGTCTGTTTTCTCCTTTGAAAAACAGGAATGAAAATAATCACTTCAGGAGATTTGCCCGAGGATCACAGGAGATATTTCATGTGAAAACACCTAGAATGCTAAAAATTTTTAAAAATCTATAAATGTTCATTAAATATGAATCTTAGAGAACTTCACTAGTGGTGTAAGAAGACTGTCTTGGCTAAAGTACATGAATAAAAGCATAGTGCCTGCTGTTGGAGAGTGTGTACCAGTTTAACCAATTGCTCAACCAGTAATAATAGGGCATGAGGCTTGCTGTGTGTGTGAGGCCCTGGGGACTGGATGGTGGATAGGCAGGCAGGGCCGGGTGGAAGAGAGACAGACGTTCAACATATAGTTGAGCAAATAAATGTCTCAGTACAAACGGCAAGTGGTAGGGAAGAAACTATTCTGGTATGTGTGTGTGTATGTATGTGTGTGTGTTTAAAGCAATTTAAGAGAACGTATATTTTGCTAGTAAATTTATGTCTATAGGCATAGAAAAATTTTCTGAAACAATTCACAAGAAATTGGTTTCAAGGAGAGGGTATAGCTCAGGTGGTAGAGTGCACGCCTAGCATGCATGAGGTTGTGGGTTCAAGCCCCAGTACCTCCATGAAAAAAGTAAATAAATAAGTAAACCTAATTAAACACCTCCTGCAAAAAAAAAAAAAAGAAAGAAAGAAAAGAAATTGGTTTCAAGGGTTTCTTTTTGTGATAGGAACCAGAAAAACAGATAAGGGAATGCCTTCTACTTTTTATTCTGTAACTTTTCTATATAATTCGAAGTTTGTAACTATAAGCATGCATTTTTATTATCTGTGTTCTTGTTTAAATGTCAGTAGGGCTTCCCTGATCGATGGGGTGAGGGTCCATTTTTATTTTCTTCATTAGACTTTTCTCTATTAAAAAACAAAACCTGTTATTTAAAATAAATGATTAACTGCTTGAAATAGTTAACCTGTCATGCCAAACCAATTAAATATTAAATATAATATTACACTTGAAAAGACAAAGGTCATTTACGAGGGTGCAAGAATTCATCAACCCACACCAAACTGTTACCAGCCTGCTCGTGCCTACAACGTCTGCCTGGACAATAACACTGTCATTCAGCCGGTATTTACGGAGCGCCTGCTGTGTACCGGGCACTATTCTGAGTCCTAGTAGATAAAACAAAGCCCTCGGGAAGTCAGACTAGATTCGAGTTGGCAGAAGCAGACAATACATAAGTAAACCAAGTATATAATGTATGTTCTATGCAAGTATATAAGTGCTATAAAAAAAATTAAAGTCCAGCTGGGTGCCAAGTAAGCAGGGGAGCTGGATGGTACTTTTGTTCTTTATACAGAATACATTCTGTAGTTGCATCACTAAAGGCAGGTTGGGAGGCCCAAGTGAGGAGGTGTCGTTTGGTAGCGACCTGGGTGGAGGGAAGGAAGGAATGAATCACGCAGATACGTGAAGGAAGACGATTTTCTGCCAAAAGGACCAGGAATGGCCCTGAAGTGGGAGAGCTGGAAACCTGTCCATCTTAGCCAGGAGTACAACCATTGTGCTGTTTATTCTGTTCACTTATCACACTGTTCAAAACATTTAAACACAATTTAAAACTTTAAAAAAAAACAGTAAAAATGAGCACTGATAGCTTTATTATTTTCGTATATATAGGACTCAGGTTACGTGGTTCTGAGCATTGCTTTTTTTTTCAACAGTTAATAAAAATTGTCAATGTGAACTATACATCCTAGAGAAATAGATACATCTTTATATATAAAAAACATGTTTTAAACTTCTTTATCCATACTCATTCACATTCATTACGTTTTTATTATTCTAATCTCATAAAATATGTATTTTATTATTACAGTATGTGCCCATTTTTATCTACTGAAAATTAAATGAGTAACTATTACTTCAAGATCTTAAGGAAAAGGATGCTGGGACGCGTTGTTTCCGGTCAGCTCTGAAATGCTTACCAGCGGGAGGGGCACGCTGGCAGGTAAGTGAACCCATGCGCTTCTTACAATAACGAGAGAAAAATAGTCCCAAGCTTAGCTCACTGGCCAATTGCGTCCCTCGGAATGCACTTCCTGCTCCGGTCCTCAGCTGTAAATGAAGGGCTGGATCCTAAGGATTCTAAGTCCTTGGATGCATTCTCTTTCCCTTTCTCATACTCAGTTCTAACTGTATGAATTTTGATTAAAATCACTGCTTTGTAACCAGTGATCCTTCACAGTCACTGGCTGGGCACCAGGTTAATCTTCTCTTCCTTCTTTAAACAGGATTGGGTGGGTGGCTCTAGAACGGTGGTTCTCAACCAGAGGTGATCCAAACCCACCCATGCTCGCCCCCTCGCTTGTAAGGGACAGTTGGCAGTTGTGGGTGAGGAGTCTGCCCTCTGCCCGTCACGGCTGTGGAGGGGGAGCTGCTGGCCTCGTGGGTCTGGGCCAGGGGAGCTGGGAAACACTCTGCAATGTGCAGGACAGGCCCCCACAACACGGAGTGATCCAGTCCAAATGTCAGCAGTGCCAGAATGAGAGCCTGGGGTCTAGAGAAATTGGAAAATGAGTGGAGGACGCTGCCGACCTCTATCCACCTGGCATTTCCCGCCCAAGAAACAACGTAACAACTTTGTCTTTTTCAACGCTGATTCTCCTCTGTTGATTACATTATTCCTGCAGACTTGGGCGTGTGACTTAAATAACCCCATGTTAGACCTAAGCCCAAAGGATAAACCAGAACTGGGGGGCAAATCTCATTCTTTCTGTTCTAAGACTTGAAAAAGTCTTCAGAGCCTTGGTTTAATTTAATCAACAATACGTTCATCTGCATATGGCATTCAACAGCAAAGGAAACTTTTTTTTCCCCTGAGTCTTTTGTTTTCAAATCAATGGGGAACAAAGGATATCTCCCGGTCCATTCAAGCAGGTTTCAATGATTCTCAAATAAACGTGGGAGTGATAGTTGAGCCATTTAAAATACACCGAGATGAGAAAGCATGCTTAGTAACCTTGTAAACATTCTATGAAAGTACAAGGGAACCTTTAAGAAGGATATCCAAGTGTCCTTTTTACATAATAGCCCTTTGTACTTGGAAATGTTCAGATGTCAATAAAATAGACTTGAACAGGACAGCCTAGAAGAATGCAGTTTCCAATTTTCTAGCAATGGTGCTGTTAAAACATTATTTTTCAGTTTCTTAACCCTCAGAAAATTAAGTTGCCTCACCCGAAGATCAGCTCCACTTAAGGACAGCACTTTGGACCCAAATTTAACCAACTGTCCAGAGGGATTCAAAAGAAGGCTAATTTGAACGCTGAGGTTTTTGAAGCTCTCAAATGATGACCCCGGTTTTTTTTCTTGAAAACACCCACAGCAGCAGCTTGGCAGGAAGCAGGAATTAGATGAGAGAACTGATGGAAACCTGTCCTCTGAACTGGAGAAAAACTTCCAATAAACTGAGGTTTGAAATCACTGCAGGTTACATTATTCATTATTCAAACAGCCTCCGGCCTTATTACATGGCATTTTCTCTGGGCTTCTGAGCTGCCCCAAGAAATGTACTTTGGTAACAAGGACCCACCCTTTCAGAGGAAAGGAAAACCTCTGCGTCGCCCCATCCTGCCTCTGCCTCCCATCTGCGTTCTATCTCCCTCTCCTATCTGCATGTTGCAATCCCCTCCCGTTTCCAGAGGCCAATGAAATTGGTCCCCCATAGGGTACTCAGCCAAGTACATTCACTGCTCAACTGTATTTTTCCTCTTTCTGAGCCCTTTCACCCACTGATTCCAAATTTCTGTTTAACAGGCCAGCCATGGCAGACCTCACCCGAACAGAGCGAGGAAAAGGCAAGCTGGAAAACCCGCACTGGGGCGATTTCGCGAAGAGGAGAGCAGCCTGATGTTTTTCATCTGAATCCTTAGGCCTCGCTCCAGCCCCACAAAGACAAGTGGCAGGAAGCTAACAGCGATAATCGAATGAGCTCAGCCAGCCTCAAAGTGGTTCTTTTTAAAAAGTGTGTGTGTGGAGGGGAGGAATTACAGGCTCTCTGCCCAGGAGAAGCGAGAGAGAAAAGAAATGCACTCTCCTAGAAATCCCTGAAGTTGGCCGCCAGTGATTCAGTCCATACCTGCCCCAAAAAAGAAAATTTCCTACCTAACTGGTTTGGCTGTTTCCTGGCTACTAACTGGAGAGGTAAATAGAACCTTATCACGGCAGTTACATCTGACTTGGACATGATTTTCAAGTAAACACTGGTAATTTCAATGCTATTCCATTACCCCCTCTACTGTCTTTGGACTGACTGACAACACCGTCTCGGATGAAACCGACTCTATAGGAACAAGCCAGGAAAGACTGCACCTTCTACCCAGCTGGCCTCTGTGTGGCCACTGGGCGGGGCTGGGGGAGTATGTGGGGACGTTCGCTGTGAGTGACAGGGGCTCTGCAGTTATCTCGTCAGATTGTAGCTGAATGGACACATGTCCTTCCTTTGCCCTCTGGGCCCCTCCAGTGGGTTAGTCGGGATTTCTGCTATTTGCTTTGCACTCTTCAGCGAATCCAACACTGGGCATTTATTTCTCTGTCTCTCTCTTCATTCAGGAAGTGGCAAGCTGAGCCCTGAGATTCTTTCTGCTCCGATGATATAAACAAATTGCAGAGGAAGTCAAGTCAAACTTTCCCTTGCTTCTTTTGTTCTCCCAACTAGCAATTCAGAAAACAGAGCCAAATTTTTTTTTTTGGATGCCTTTAAAGATTGCTTGTAACTGGAAAGGCAGAAACTCTTATGGTTCTTTTTTTTTTTTTGATTGAAGTATAGTCGGTTACAATGTGTCAATTTCTGGTGTACAGCACAATGTCCCAGTCATGCATATACACGCATATATTTGTTTTCATTTTTTTAAAAAAAAAACAACTTATTTTATTTGTACTCCTAAACGTTTTCAAAAAAGCAGGAAGTGCCCTAGAAGGTTGTTTTGGACTTTTTCTTAAGGCTCTTTTTGAGATTTTTTTCAAACCAAATTGCTCCCTTGACATTGCAGTTACCTAAGTGTTCTTTCCTACAAATTTCAACCAAAAGAGCAATAAGGAGCTTTGCGTGGACAATGGCTAAACCTGATTTGGAGGTATCTGGTGCCCGAATTCACAGCCAAGGAGACCTAACAGTCATGATTCAATAAGCTTACCAGTCCAAAGTACCCACCAGACAGAAAGGAGACATCTTATCTGTGTAATCTACAGATACTGCTTGAAAAATCACACGTAATTAAGCCCTTCTTCCAGTGGGAGCTCCTTGAAGCTTTATCACCAGCTTGTCAGATGTCATCTCTGAGTTTCATTGATGGCTCTGAGAGTGAACATTTCCAAACCAGAGGCACCTGATAATCCAGGTGACATGTTTACCACGCCTAGTCTAGTCAGCTAATAAAAGCAGCTCTGCACTCCACAACTGAAGGAAAATAGAATGGTGGAGAGAGAAAAAGAGATTTGCAGGGTGGCTTCCCACACTGGCTGTTCTGTTACGTTAATCCTGTTGCAAGATATAAGATGTGACAGTCATCCGGATATCTGTGTGCCTCCTTGGTCCTCGGGTGGCCCTGTCTGTACACAGGTAAGTGGCCAGCTTTCAAAACAGCCCTATTTTCTAGTGAAGTGTGTTTGAGTTCAAATACAGGCTCAGGCTACTTACTGAGTCTCTGTGTTCCCTTCTGTACAATGGGGATGTTTTAATATGGCAGGACTGTAATGTGGTTTAAAAATCATACATACATAGATATTTCTCACCCTGATGCGAGGCATATGCTGTGCTCTCACTTAAAGGCAGTTACGATTACCAAAATTCATAACACTGAGTTCTGGGCCAGGAGAAACTAGCATTGGTAAAATCTGAAGTGGATAGTGTTTGCAAAGTTATTTCTGTGTCAGAACATGTTTGTTCAGCCATGATTGTCTCCACCCTCCTTATCTACAAATACATATATGCTGTAGATATTTATAGACTAATGGGTCTGTAAAATCAGTTATGCACGTTGTAATTGACTGTGCAATTATCGAATAAACAGTGGATGAAAGGAAAACGTGAGGTTCTGAAGGCTGGCTTTAGTCTGCGTTTTATCTTATATTCATTGGACTGTTTATTTGCTTGCCTACCCTCTCCTCCCCGTTGATTATTTTCCAGGCATGCATTTCCCTTGAGCAACATCAGATGAGAAAGTGAGTTCGTTTCCATTGCAGGGGAGTCAAACAGAAAACCCAGAGGCGGCGACTTGCGTGGAGGCCTCCCAGGTATGCACGGAGTGTTAGAAGCTGTGTGCACCTCCACACCCCAGAACTCCTTTTGAAGCTTTGATGTAGAAACGTGCAGTACCTTCAGTGCCTCTGGATTTCCGTAAAGCAAATAGAGCTATTGTGCACTGATGCCATCTCCATACACTTACAGAATTCAACAACTGCCTTCAACAGACTTTATCACTTACTTACTGTGTGCAAGGCACCAGGATACAGACAGTAGTCATCAGTGCTGGCCAACCCCAAATGAAAGCTAGACGCACACTTGAAGGACCAGAAAAGCTATTTTAGATTTCAACATGTATATGCTTTTGTCTCTGAAAAACAATTTTATTTTTCATTTTAGTTTTTTATTTTCATTTGGGTACAGGTCCTGGATGGTGTGTGTGATGCAGGAAATACTCCCCTCCCACTCCTGCTTTGGATGGGACATACTTCCTTGCCCCACTGAGTCCGGGCTCGGTCATGTGACTTTGTTGGCTAATAGGCTGTCAGCCTGCAGGGCGCAAGCAAAGCCTTGAAAGGCGTTCGCACCGTGGGTCTCCCCTTTTTGCGGGTCCCACGTTGCCCTGGGAAGCACATGCCTGTTCATCTGAGGAGGATGAGAGACACCTAGAGCAGACCTGGCTGCAACCCACACCTTGAAGCCCAGCCCAGCCTAGATCATCTGAAAACCAGCCAAGTTGTAGATGCTTTTGTGAGATTAAATAATTACTATTTTAAGCCCCTGAGCTTCGGGTGATTTGTTACGTGACATTATTATGGCAATAGCTGACTGGTGTAGTCCCCAGAACATTTACAGGTCTTAATCTGTCTGTGGGCATACCAAGACAAGATACTAAATTACCAAAACAAAAAACATTTTTAAAAGATGCTTTGAATGCCTTCCTTACTGATTTGACACTGTTATGTATATCAAGATTAATTATAGCCTTTCATGGACTAAATCAAACTTGAGGCCCATAATATTTTTTAAATTTATTTTTTTATTGAAGTATAGTTGATTTATATTTTTTTAAAATCAAAGTGTAGTTGATTTACAATGTTAGTTTCTGGTGTACAGCATAGTGACTCAATTATATATATATATTCTTTTTCAGGTTCTTTTTCATTTATAGGTTACTACAAGATACTGAATATAGCTTCCTGTGTTCTACATTAGGGCCTTATTAATTTTATATCTAGTAGTTTATATCTGCTAATCTTAAACTTCTAATTTATCCCTCTTCCCTTTTTCCCTTTGGGAACCATAAGTTTGTGTTCTGTCTGTGAGTCTTTCTGTGTTAAGAAAGTTCATCTGTGTCACGTTCTTAGGTTCCACATGTAACTGGTATCATATGGTAGCTGTCTTTCTCTGTCCGACTGACTTCACTTAGTATGACGATCTCCAGTCCGTCCGTGTTGCTGCACCTGGCACGGCTGCATTCTTTACGGCTGGGTAGTAGTGCGTCGTGCCTGTATGCCACGGCTTCCGTATCCAGTCGTCTGTAGGTGGGCGTGTAGGGCATGTAGGTTGCTTCCATGTCTTGGCTGTTGTAAACAGTGCTGCTAGGGGCTCGTGATGTTTAAACGTAGCAACATACGGTCGAAGATTAAGTGGCTTCAGGCACTCATTTATTTACTTAGCACCAGATTAAGCGCTCACTCCACAAACGCTTCACTCCAAAAATGTGTTCAGGGAGATGCTAGTTGTACTCCTGTGTTTGACCTTGAAGACACAGCACTGAATATTAATAGCTAACCCTTAGCAAGCACTTACCAGAGGCCAGGTACTGTTCTTAGTGCTTCATCTACATCAACTATCTGAATCCTCAAAACTTAATGTGGTACTAGGTTCAGTATTAGGTACTATGATTATCCCCATTTTGCAGGTGAGAAAATTGAGCCAAGGGGATCAGTGACTCACCCAAGCTTCCACGACTTGTAACTGACAAAGCTAGGACTGAAGCCTAGGCTGTCTGGGTTCAGAGCTCACATGCTTACCCACCCTGGTAAGACACAGACAGGGAGTCCACAGAGTAAAAAGGGGCAGCAACCTTAACTAAGGAGGCAGTCAATCATTACAAACCATGGGCAGGACCAGGTTTGAAAAGGACAGGGAAACAGTGGTTAAGAATAATGGAGACACTTTCAGACAGGCAGCTAGAGAAGGCTTCTCAATGTAGGTGAAATTGTCTCAAGGATGAATGTGATCAGACACAAAATGGCAACATGGCTGGGAGAGAAGACAGTTCAGCAGACGGGTGGTCTTGAGGCAGTACACGGCTTGCTGTGTTTTAGAGACTGGAAAATGGCCATTGCTGAGTTCCAGAGGCCAGCAGGGTGAGTGCGTCTCATTGCCATGGGGGTGGGAGGACACTGGTCAACAGACTTCTTGGTAAAGCACCAAACAGTAAATATTTTAAGCTTCGGGGGCCATGTGGGCTGCCTCACAGTGACTCAGCTCTGATACCGTAGCGTGAAAGCAGCTGTACACAAAAAATGGATGACGTGTCTGTGTTCCAAAAAGACTGTATGTACAGACACTGAAGTTTAAATTTCACAGTTCCACAAATGTCACGTATGTCTGTTTAGACACATGGGATAGTCGCACTGGGTACATTTCCAACAGAGCAGGTAATCTCTTATTATATTTGACGCATCATGACCTTGGAACTCGGGTAGGTTCTGTCAAAATATAAGTCACACCAGTAAAAGCAAGAGGTAATTTTGAATAAAAGTAATGACTAGGCTATTGGGTTATTTAATCATCCTATTAATCGGGATTCTCCAGAAAAACAGAGTCAATAGGATGTATAGGTGTAGGAAGAGATTATGAGGGAATGGGCTCATGCAATGAGGGGGCTGAAAATTTGCAGTTTGCTGTCTGCAGGCTGATGCCCCAAGAGCCTGTGCTGTAGTTCAGTCCAAGTCCGCAGGCCTGAGAAACAGGAGCACCAAGGGCAGGAAAATCAATGTTCCAGCTCAAACAATGGGTGAGGAAGGGCTGACCCCTTCCCTCCTTGCCCTTTTTGTTCCTTTCAGGCCCTCCTGGGTAGGGTGATGCCACCATACTGGGAAGGGCACACTGTTTGACGGGGTCCACTGATTCCAACGCTAATTTCATCTGGAAACACCTTCACAGACACTCCCAGAGATTACATTTAACCAGTTTACAGGCAACCCATGATCTGGTCAAGCTGACACATAAAATTGACCGTTACAATCTGCTAAAGAGGAGCAAATGATATGATCACCCAGGAAAGAGAAATACTGGCAAAGATAAAAGGAATGCTCCATCTTTACAAAGAGAGTGGCAGCCAGTCAATGGGTGTCATCATTCAGAGTATTTGCGATTCATCACTGCCCTAAAAATAGACTTACCATATGATCCCACAATCCCACTCCTGGGTATGTATCTGGAGGGAACTCTAATTTGAAAAGACACATGCACCCCAATGTTCATAGCAGCACTATGTACAATAGCCAAGACATGGAAACAACCTAAATGTCTCTCAACAGAGGACTGGATAAAGAAGCTGTGGTATATTTATACAATGGAATACTACTCGGCCATAAAAAGAATGAAATAATGTCATTTGCAGCAACATGGATGGACCTGGAGATTATTATTCTAAGTGAAGTAAGTCAGACAGAGAAAGAAAAATACCATATGATATCACTCATATGTGCAATCTAAAAAAACAAAACCAAATGAACTTATTTACAAAACAGAAACAGACTCACCAGACATAGTAAACAAACTTATACTTACTGGGGGGAAACGGGGTGGGAAGGGATAAACTGGGAGTTCAAGATGTGCAGATTCTACTATATATAAAATAAACAATTTTCTTCTGTATAGCACAGGGAACTACATTCAATATCTTGTAGTAACCTATAATGAAAAAGAATATGAAAACGAATATATGTATGTGTATGTATGACTGAAACATTATGCTGTACACTAGAAACTGACACATTATAAACTGACTACACTATAATAAAAAAAATTTGTAATTTGTAATGTATTCCTTATTCGAAATAAATGTTAACTTTTACAACTTTTTTCATAACTATGTCCTTTTTCTTAGAGAGCCCTCAAATTGTAAAATCTTCAAGGCCTACCGACTTGGAATGAGCTCTGATTAAGCACCTACCAGATGAGCCAGACATATCTGGATGCTAGAAATACAGCCCTGAATGGAACAGACACTTGGCCTTAACACATGTCCACATGCTGACACGCCTTTGAAAGGCAGAGTCCTCTCCCCTTGAGTTCAGGCTGGACCTCGGGACTTGTTTCTAAGGAGCAGAATCCCGTGCAGATGACACTGGGCAACATCCAAGACTAGCCCTAAGATACGCTGCAGTTTCTTCCTTGCTCTTTCCCTCTGGAAGGCATCAGCATCATGGAAAAGTCCACATGGGGAGGAACTGAGGCCTCCAGCCGACAGCCATGTGAGCGTGCATCTTAGACGCAGGTCCTCCAACGCCAGTCAAGCCTGCAGATGTTGGCAGCCTCGACCAACATCTCAACTGTATCGTGACTGCTTACGAGAGGCCTTGAGCCAGAACCATCCATCCAGACTGTTCTCAGTGACTCCTGACCTCAAAGTGTGGGAGGCAAGAAGTGTCTGTTCTTTTCAGCTGCTAAGTTTTGGGGTTGTTTGTTACATAGCAAGAGATAAATACACCAACAAGAGTCCTGGCTTCATGATTCACATTCTGATGTTTGTTCAATGGGCACTGAATAAACGTTTTTTGAGAAATTGATGAATGACAGTAAATTAAATAAATGTATCAAATTATCATCATCCATTCGTTTACCTAATATTTATTGAGCTGCACCTTATATTGATCTGTGTTCTAGGCATCAAGCTAGAACAATAAATGAGAAAGAAAAACCCTCCCCTCATGGGGCTTCCAGTCTGGTAGAAAACCAGGTTTCTGCTCTGTCGCTGATGCTCACTCACTGCAGGATGCTGGAACCACGCCTCCGTTTCCCAGGTATGTGCATTATCTGAGTTAATCCCCACCACAGCCCCTTCTCCCTCACCCACCTCCACGCTGGAGCCCTTCCCGGGCTCCCCTGCAACCTGGCCACGTGACACACTTCAGGCCAGCGAGACGTGAGCAGGAGATCTCTGTGAGACTTCTGGGCAGGTCCGTTGTCTCACAAAGGAAAAGATGTCCCTGGTTCGACCTGCCCGTCTTCCTTGCCTTGAGAGGAAAGCGGTGAGTCTTCCTGGAAGCATACAGAAGAAAGAATAGCAAAGCTCTGACATTCTCAAGCCACTGAAACATAACAATAACTTCCTGCATCTGGACTTCCTTTTAAGTGAGGGGGAAGATAACTTAAGTCTCTCATAGGGTTTTGTGGTGGTGGCTGCCACTTACATCTGAAGGCATTCCCAACTGATCTAATAAAATCGAAGCAGAGAACGATTCGTTAGCCAAGGTCACAAAGCCAATGAGTGGAGCGAGCCGAAAGAAAAACCAGATTTAACTGACCTTGAAATCTAGACTCTTCATCATGATGTTACATTGTCACTGTGGTTTTCCACTAGTAAGCAGAAACACTTGAGCAAATGTATTCGCTCCAGATAGAGTAACTAGACTACTTGATGTTGCCTCAAACTCTAGGACATTCAATCCACATTTCAGTTTTAACAAGTACTTAATTACAGATTTCTGGGCGGCCATAGAAAGTGCTGAGGGATTCTTTAATATTGGTGATGCTGTTGAAATATGCTAACCATGGATTTATCTTTCAGAGGAAATTAATAAAGATCCCATTCCTTGAGGGTCCCTTCAGGAAAATATGGGGCATCAACAATGTGCCTCCTCAATTACTCCTATTATCTCAGTTTCCATTTTAGAGATAAGGATGCAGGGTCAGGGTTAAACTCAGCCCTGCCATCGCCCAGAGCCTGCACCACTGCAGCGGACGGGGAGGGAACAGTAAAATGGGTCCCGTATGTGATAGTAGACTAAATCGTCCTGGACACGGCAGCAACTCTGACAGTTTATACATGAATGCATAAAGTCTGGGAAATGCTCTGGTGGTCAGTTCCTGCTCCAGCCCCATCTAGCTGTGACATTAGGGAGATCTCACAGTCTCTCTCAGCCTCAGTTTCTTCCTCTATGCGATGGAGAGAATATTAATACAACCTCCTAGAACTGCTCTGGGGACTCCATGGGGCAAAGCTGCTGGGCTCCCGGTGGGCTGCCCAGCCAGCCCTCGACGAGTATTAACGGTTACCATTATTGTAATCATTGCGCCATATTTCCTCCCTCTATGCAACGGAGACAGTTTTGTTTTGATCTGGGTATTTCTTCTCGACAATTAGGTGCGCTCTCGGTACTAGAAGGAATATGTCATAACCCGACAGCAAACGATCTCTGCAAAAGCAAAATGGCCTGAATTCTGCTAAAAAACAATCTGTTTTCTGTACCCATGGCAGAGAACAAAATGCAAAGAGAACACGGTGAGGATGCCTGGGGGTGGAGAGCAGAGGGTTTTGCTGGCCTGGCTGGGAGGTTATTTCTGCTACCCCACCCTGTCCCCTGCGACCACTTCCCCTCTTGTCCTCACTGGCCTGGTTCTCCCTTCTCAAGCCTGTTCTGCGGCTACACCAGCACTTTGTTTTAAAATAGATGCCTGATCTCACCCCTCAAAAGTAGTGTCTTGGTTTATAGGAGAAAGACTGAACACAGCCGGCGGTTCCCTAATTTCCAAGGACGACCTGTGGTCTTCGAACGTGGCCCCCCGGTCTTCATGTCCCCTGGGATGAGGGCTGGCCTGGTGACTTTCTAACAGACAGACATGGTGGAGCATCACTTCGTAATTAGGGGACCGAGGACCGGGACGTCCACCTTGCTCACAGATTCCATCACCTGCTCAGCTTGTACGCTTTGATGAAGCAAGTGGCCCTGCTGGGAACCTCCTGTGGCAAAGAGCTGAGGGAGGCCTCTGATCAGCAGCAAGAAAAGACCTGAGGTCCTTAATCCAACAGCCCTCGAGGAAGCCCATGTACCAACAGCCACAAGAACTTGGAGGCAGATTCTTCTCCAGCTGGGCTTTCAGATGAGACCTCAGACTACACCGACACCTTGAATGCAGGCTTGTGGGAGACCCAGTGAAGCAGGGTCCAGATTCCCATCCACAGAAACCGTGAGAAAATAACTGTGCCTTGTTATAAGCTGCTATGGGCAGGGAGGATATTTTGTTACACAGCAAAAGATAACGAATACAAACCAACCCAGTCAACCCATAATAAAGAGGAAGAAAGGAAAGAGCTGGATCAGGAGCTAGCATCTCTGGACTCTGGCCACATTTTGCCACCCAACTACATCAGTGGTCTTAGAAAAGGCATTTCCCTTTCTTGCCTCAATTTCTTCTTCTATAAAAGACAAGGGTTAAATTGGGGATTGTAATTTTCTGTAGTTTTTCTCCTTAAAAGTCTTGTGATGTTCCACCCTGGGCTCACATTCTACTCAGCAACAATCAGTATTAGACAGACACTGTCCTCATGAACAGGGATGGGGTTTCCGCTCACCCCAGGCCTCACCCGGATCAGGCATGGCAGGTGAGGCCGTGGTCCTGAAGCAATGACCCCTTGCAGTAGGCTGGTTCTTCTGAGGAGCAGACCGGCAGACGCCAAGTTGGGGGAAAACACGCAAGACATTTCCTGGGGGAAACTCATAGGACAGGAACGTGGGGAGGGAGCCAGAGGGGAGGAATGAGACCGCAGCTCTGGTCTGACCCCTGCAGAGGAGAGAAGAAGAGAGAACCGGTGGGTAGGGGGAGTCTGAGACTGTGGCGCAGTTCTAAGAGAGTTCTGGCAAAGCCCATGCCTCCCAGAAGGGAGCCTGCTTTAGTACCCGGGTCGCAAGCAGCCGCTGGAAAGGAGTAACCTGAAGGAGACGTGGGCTCAGCACAAATGTGGATTTCAGAGCAGGCATCCGGGCCCCCGGGCAATTACAGCCCCTGCCCTGGGAGCCCCGAGAGGCACATGTCCATGGCTTCCACGTCCCCTGGGGTTCCTTTTAGTCTAAAAATCCCACCCAAATGTGGGGCCAACAGGATGAACATGGTCTGCAGATGCATTTTGATTGGCTTGTGGTGTTTAATAAAAGACACAAATGAACTTACAGAACAGAAACAGACTCACAGTCATAGAAAACAAACTTATGGTTACTGGAGGGAGGAGGTGGGAAGGGATAAAATGGGAGTTCCAGATTTGCAGATACTAACTACTATATATAAAATAGATAAACAACAAGTTTATACTGTATAGCACAGGGAACTATATTCAGTATCTTATAGTAATCTATAATGAAAAAGAATATGAAAAGGAATATATGTCTGTATATGTATGACTGAAATATTATGCTGCACACCAGAAATTGACACATTGTAAACTGACTATACTTCAATCTAAAAAAATTAGCTGCAACACCAAAACCTCTGCTCACAGACAAAAATTTTGATACATTGGACAACATCAATATTTAAAACATGTGCTCTGTGAAGGATGCTGTTGAGACAATAAAAAGATGAACCACAGACTAAAAGAAAATATTTGCAAATCACATATATGACCAAGGATCTGTATCCAGAATGTCTGTTTAGAAACTTTCTAAGATAAGAAGAAAACAAACCACCTAATATTTTTAAGTGGGAAAAAAATTTGACCAGACGTGAATAAAAGAATACTTACTGATGACAAGCAAATGAGAAAATGTTCAACATCTTGAGTCACTATGTAGAGAGACTACAAACCTATCAGAATGGTTAAAATTAAAAAAAAAAAACGGATATATCAAGTGCTAGTTTTAATAGGGCTGATGTCTTATTAAATAAAATAATGCGTTTGATACGGGGCAAATAACACATCCCTAATGCACATTATTGAAAATTTCAAAAGAAAATTAAGAACCGGAGCTTTAGAAGAGAAGGCTAGAAAGGAGAGGGACTAAAATCAGAATAAAATGTCACTGTAGAGGAGTTCACCTCAAAGGAATTAATTTCTCTTCCTAAAAATTTCAACTACTACCAGGGCATCTGCAGTTTTACAGGACCAGGAGGATGGTATGAAAACGACGTCACATTTACCAAACATCTGCTGTTTCTCAGGTACTTCACTCGGACTCTCACATTGCTAGTCCCAGGTTATAGATGTGGCTCAGAGAAGTCAGTAGTTCGCCCAAGGCCACACAGCAAATAAATAGCAGAGCCAGAATTTCCAAGATGCTTGCCGTCTCCTCTTTACACAATACAGCCTTCCAAACCGGGAAGACACAGCAGCGGGGAGAGTGATGTTGCTTCCTCAGGGGAAATTTCTCACTTTATTTAACAAGCTTCCTGCACACATAAAATCCTTCCTCCCATCCCCACCACCACCTTCCGGCCGGCTGAGCTCCTCCATTTTCAGTCTTCTATTAGGCACCTGCCTCTCCCCCACATCTACACCCCCGCACCCTGCTATGTTAGCCAGTGTTACTCAACATGTTGTTCATTTGCATCCCCCCACCAAGGAATAGTTTTAGACATTTTTTCTAATTACCTCCCCCTCGATACATTAATACCACAGATACACTGTGTATCTGTTCATGTACTGTGCATATTTGTGTGATCTGTAAAAAGACTATAATTTTTGAGAAATCAAGAAACAGTGTGGCCCCCTTGAGGGCAGTTGCGTGTCCCCTGGGAACGTGGGTGTCGGGGTGGTGGCAGCAGCAGAGTATGAAACGGGGCTGGGCTGGGGCCCGGCGCTGCTGTAGGAGCTTTGCTGGCAGCACCTCGCCCGGCCCTCTGCTCACATGCTGATTTCCGGGCTTACCCAGAACCGGGAAGCTGCATTATTCTACTGGCCCCTTCTTGAAAATGGAAAATTTTACTTTCATTTTGCTCTTCCTCAATCTCTCTCCATCGTTGTCCACTTACAGACTAGAAGCAGAAGTGAGTCTAGGAAAGTAAAACCACAGGACAATGTCCGTTTCTCTTCCAGGTGGCAAGATTCCTTCCTCCTCCTCATCCCTAATTCCGTACTTTTCCCAGCTTTTAAAGTGTGTTCTGAATCGTTCCTTTAATTTCAAAGGTCCTTCTGAGTCACTGTTCCCAGAGAAGGATTCAGACTTTGAAAACGTCCTAAACCAGCTAGAAAATCGAGATGGCTAACCTTCACAAGCACTGAGCTCGGTTCTTTTCAAGGATTGTCAATATTTCATTTTTTCAACAACTGCCATTTTACAGGTGAGAACTGGAGGCTCGGAGAAGTCGGTTAATTCACCCCCGGTCACATGAGGACATGTGGTGGCCAGCCTGGCTGCAAATCCAGGACAGACTGGCTCCGAGTGTATGCTGCTAACCGCAATGAGAAGCCACCGCTTAATTTTAGTCTATCACTTCCCTCAAAGTGGGAGGAAACAGAAGTTGGAGATTTTTCAAAGGGGGAGGGGGTACCTCTGTGTTTTATCTAAGTTTATTCTCCCAGCCACAAAAGAGGAGCCTGGAGCTTAGTAGCACACAGAATTTTCTTTTAGTGGTGCTTCTGATACCTGATTAAGATTTGCTGCCCGGCCATTTACTTTACTGCTTTAGCAAGAGATTTCTCTCTTCCTAGTCTATTACTATATTATAAAGTGATTCCCTCAAGGGGAAAACGTCCCAGCGAAGACGAGACTCCAAGGGGAAAAGCTCACCCTCTCACACTTTGCCAGAGGTGCCCAGGATCTCCCACCAGATTTAAATCATGAACTGTGCTTTCTATGTTGCTCAGATTTGCTTTTCCACATGCTCTTCTTTAGCGTGGCTTGTATTATGTTAACCCTGAATCGCTTCCTGTGTTCTTGGAGAATTAAGTGGACATTCTTTTAGGGTTTTTTCCATAGTAAAGGGAAGAAAAAACTTCATGTCTATAAGGATCTATAATATTTCTCTTCTGTTATGTATGAAATAACCAGGAATATGCCTTCAGCTATGCACTTTACACAAATTATCTCTAATCCCTTTGACAGCTTCCGGTAAATGTCCTGACACTCAGTTTCAGATAAGAAAAGGAATCTCAGAAAAGGGAAGTGACTGGCCTGAGAACACACAACGGAGTATTGACAGAAGCAGATTTCAAGCTCCCCTTTTACTATTCCCAGGACTCACATGATTTGCAGTAACACCATTTTCCACATGTGGCCAGAATATTAGTCAAAAAACCTTTTTCTGGCATCCTTGAAACTTCCAGCAGAAGTCTAAAGTTTCTATTTCTAACCCAACAAATGCCCCGCCTCCTAAAAAAAATTCTCAACATTTTTTTTGACTTCTTTGGTTCTTGAAACTGGCAGCAGACTTCCAGTTTCTGGTCCAGCATGTAAGACGCTTAGAAGTCACCACTTTTTCATAGCAACAGGTAAAACCTGAACAAACTGAAAAATTAATGCTCTTCTTAGATCAGCAAGACAGTGAGATCACAGGGCAAACCACTGCCCCCAAACTGGAGGGACAGACAGGTGAACACAGAAAATCACAACTTACTAGACCACCGATCTTCTCGGGAGCCAGTGCCAGGGTAGGGAAACCAGAATTGAAATTGATGAACTGTGGGCAGCTTCATGTGGACAAATCTGAGACTCAAAAGCTCCAGGGGTACCCAGCCACGGAGTTGGGGGGGGGCACATCTTGTGAGTCTTAGTTGACCAGCTTCTCACACTGAATATCTGTGAAAAGCTCCCTCGGGCTCTCAGCAGGGGAGGGAAAAGGGGCCGCGCTGAACCAGGCCAGGGCAGTCTGTTCTCCTTAACCAGTCCTGCCCTCGGGAGAAACTATTTAAGCAGGGCTTAACCTGCTGGGATTTTATCAGAGCCTAACTGGCATAGGGAAAGGAAAGTACCTAACTTCAGGTCCCTGTAGCTTTCCACAGGGAGAGAGAGAAATGGCCAACTCAAGCCCACTCCAGCCACCCGCCCCACCTAAGGGTGTGAGGAAGATGAACTGAGAGGCACTTGCAGGAGTCAGGCTCACAAAACAGACTGAGGCTGGACCAGAGGACCACACAACGCTCCCCCTCCCCTCCCGCCTCACCACCACATCACTAAGCACCTACAGCAGTTCCTTTTACCTGGCACATCAAGTCAGGCTATTAGTAAAAAAAAAAAAAAAAAATTACAAGGCATACTAAAAAGCAAAAAAGACAGTTTGCAGAGAGAGTATGCATCAGAAGCAGACTCAGATGTGGTCAGGATGGTGGACTTCTCAGACTGGGAATTGAAGGCAACTATGATTAAGCGATGCTAAGGACTTCAGTGGGTAGACTGCGTGTAAGAACAGATGGGTCTTGTATGCAGTTAGAAATTCTGAGAAATAATTAAAAAGAAATGCTAGAGATAAAAAAAACCACTAACAGAAATGAAGAATGTCTTTAATTGGTTCACCAGTAGACAGGATATGGCTGACGGAAGAATCTCTGAGCTTGAGAATGTATCAATAGGAGCCTCATAGACCAAAAACCATAGAGAATGAAGACCAAAACAAACCAGAATGGAATGTCTGAGGACTGCTGGAGAACTGCAAAAGGGGGAACGTGTGGAGGGGGTAAGGAGAAGAAAGAGAAAATGCAACAGAAGAAATATCTGAAGCTCTAATGAAGGGAATTGCCCCCAAATCAATGTCAGACACTGAACCACAGATCCAGGAAGCCCAGAGACATCAAACAGGATCAGTGCCTATGTCCAGGCTACATCATATTTCTATGGAGAACCACCTCTAGGCATATCATATTTAAACTGCAGAAAACCAAAACAAAGAAAAAAAAATCCCTGAAGGAAGTCAGAGGGAAAATCACCTGACTAAGGGACAAAGATTAGAAAGACATCTGCATTCTCAGAAACCAAGCAAGCAAAAATAGTAGAGGGAAATACTGGGTTTGAGAGGGGAGAAAACAAAAACAAAACAAAACACCTAAGAATTCTGTCCCAGGCAAAATTATCCTTCAAAAGTGAAGGAGAAATAAAGACTTTCTTAGACAACCTAAGATTGAGAAGACTTGTTGCCAGCAGAGCAGCCTGGTAAGACATGTAAAAAGAAGTTCTTTAGAGAGAAGGAAAATAGGTCAGACACTCAGAGCTACATCAAGAAAGAAGAGCATCAGAAAAGGAGTAAGTGAAGGTAAAATAAGAATGTTTATTTTTCTTACTCTTAATTGCTTTAACAGATAACAGATTGTTCAAAATAATAACAGCAACAATGTATAGATG